GGCCACCCTCCCCCCCCCCCCCCTCCCGTCCGCTCTCCTTCCAGAACCCCTGCCCAGAGGCCAGCGCTGGCTTCCTCTCTCGCCTGTCATTCTGGTGGTTCACAAAGTGAGTTGGCTTGTCCTCCTGCCAAATGGGAGGTGGGAGGGAAGAAGGGGAGCAGCCCAGACATTCAGGGCCCTGGGGGACTGGGTCTGGCTAGCTCTCCCGACCCTGCTGGGCATGGAGCAGGCAAGCATGGGGAAATGTGTCCATCGGCGTCGGGGTGCTACATGCTGAGGCCGGGCCTGGCTCCCTGCATCTGGCAGGCCACGGGGACAGGCCCAGGGGCTGGAAGGAGACCATAATGTGTTCTGAGCTCTCCCGTCTGGGATAAGCTTGCCGCTTGTCATTCCCCGGCGGCCCCTCTGAGCGAGCGGCTCGAGCAGGATAATTGTGTCTGTGACCTGGGTGACAGCTCATTAACCGCACAGCACTGAGGAAGCACCTGAGGCTGGGACTGAATGCACGGGTCCTGTCCTTGTGCAGGGCCCCAGCCAGCACGGATTTTATCTCCAGGGCCTAGGGGGAGCTAGGGCCAAGGAGGGACAAGGGAGGGAGGAGGCAATGACCTTGTTCATAGCGAGAATAAAGGAGACAGCTCCCTTGGCCACAGCTCCCTCCTTACTGGGGTCCCTGGGGCCCTGGACATACTAGCCTTGAGCTCTAGGCTGTGGAACTCTGATCCTGTGTGGGGCTGCCTGCCTGCCTCTCCCCACCAGGATGGTCATCCTCGGCTACCGGCGCCCCCTGACGGAGCAGGACCTCTGGTCCCTGAAAGAGGAGGACCGCTCGCAGGTGGTGGTGCAGCAGCTGCTTGAGGCGTGGAAGAGGCAGCAGAAGTAGGCAGTGCAGTGAGGTCATCCGTGTACCCATGTCCCCGGCCCCTACCCTGCCAACCCTCGGCATCCCCAGGTCTTCGGCAGAGGACGCTGGTAGATGTTGGTAGATCTGATCAGATGGGTCAGATCGCCTTGTGTGTGTTGGGGGGGCGGGGGGAGAAGCAGGCGTCGGGGGTTTCTTGGGGCTCATGGCAAGTTGGTGGAAAGCGTGGGCCTGAATAGGGCCAGATCTTCCCAGCTCAGGCGAGGGCAGAGAATGGCTGACACTTTCAGAACCCTTTCCCTGTCCCAGACACACTCTTCACGTGTAGATTAGCACATTTAATTTCTCACCAGCCCTACACTTTAGATTCTCCTGTCCCCTGTCAGATGGGGACACTGAGGCATGGCAATTTAGTGGAACTCGCAAAGTCCCCTAGTTGGTGGTGGCAGAGTTCAAACCCACACTCAGATGCCTGGTCCTGCCTGGGCCGCCTCCTCTCTTAGTCCTGCCTCTTCTTATCTGGAGGTGAGGGCTGGCTGGATGATCCTCCAGCGAAGGGCCCCTGGAGTCTCTTACCCAGGACCCGCATGCCTGTCTGGCCAACTGCCCAAGAGAGAACTTCTGCACCCACTGCTGACCTCAGGATTGGGCCCCTTCCTCCCACCCCCAACCCAGAACCTAGGAGTTGGTGCTGTTCAGCCCAGAGACCTCGGCTGCCCTAGAGGAGCCAAGGCCTTGGGCCTGCCTAGCAGTGCCCCAGCTTCTGTCCTTGGAGCCTCTGGGCAGCGTCTGGGCCCGTCTTCCCGGTGCACCTTGTCTGTCTCTCCACGCCGCCTCCACCCCTCCTTGTTCAGCTCCCCAGTGCTGGGCCACCAGCTGCCTTGCCCTCTCTGCATCCTCCTGGAGTCAGCCCTGGGAGGCAAGGGGTGGCCCCGGCTGAGAATTGCTGGGTTTTATGATCCTTGGGGTTGCAGTTGGGCCACACCTTCAGATTCCTTCTAGCCCCTGAAGACAGAGTCACCTGGGCAGTTCTCACAATATCTGTCCCCCTCCCAGTTCTGAGGGCCACAAAAACAGCTCTCTCCTCCTCTTCCTCCTCCCCTTCCCCCAGCCCAGCCCCACCCTGGGTTTTGTGAGACCCATGAGTTCATTTGCCATCCACTGCTTCTTCCTCCCTGGTCCAGACAGAAGGCTGCAGCAGCAATCGGGAAGAAAGTCTCTAGTGAGGACGAGAAGCTGCTAGGAGCCCTGCCCAGGCGACGGGAGCCCTCCTTCCTGCGGGCCCTGCTGGCCACCTATGGCTCCAGCTTCCTCATCAGCATCTGCTTCTTGCTGGTCCAGAACCTGCTATCCTTCGTCAACCCACAGCTGCTCAGGTCTCCCACACACCCTCCGCCGCAGCCTTTCCCTGGGGAGGGGGCTGGCTGACTGCCGCTAGGTTAGACCCAGAAGGAGGAACGACATATAGTGAGAAAGAACCTCAGACCAGGAACGGAAGAGGCTCTCTCTGCTTTCTGTGATCAAGCCCATTACTTCTGTACCTTGGTTTCCCCATTCACGTCTAACTTACATTTGCTAGATACGGACTCCGTGGTGGCTATGTTAGCAAGCATTCTCTTTTTAAACCTTCCCACCAATCCTACAGGGAGGAGCCCTACTCCCATTTAACAGGTGAGGAAGCAGAGACTCAGAGAGGCGAAGTGCCCAGGGCACACGACTGGTGGAGATGAAGTCTGATCTGGGTCCAGAGCTCTGAATTTCAGCCACGGTGCTGGGTCCACCACCATCGGGCTCTGTCATCTGTCACATGAGGGGCTTGGACTACATGGAGCTCTCAGAGGAGAGGGTGGGGAGGAGAGCTTCAGCAGCTGAGCCCCCACGCCTTGCCCCTCTATGCACGCATTCATTCACTCAAGGAACGGTCACAGATCCTCCAGGGTGGCAGGACAGGGCTAGACACTAAGGATCCAGAGAGCGATCAGACCTGGTCTTACAGTCTGGGAGAAAATAGCCAAGGTATAAATCAATAGAATACAGTGGGAGTGGGCCAGCCAGTGGCATCATGGTTGAGGTGGCTGGATTCCACATGGCCAACTGCGTGGTTCAAGTCCCAGAACCAGCGGCTTAAAAAACAGACCAGGTGTGTGTGCATGAATGCCCAAAATTCCAAGAGGAGAATGAAGAAGGGATTGCACAGTGGCCATCCCCTCACTGCAAGGTGCTTTCTCACTTTGCATCTCACTCTGCCTCCAGTGAGTGCCCACGCCCGTTAGCCAAAAATAATAAAAATAAATAAATTTAAAAAAAAAGAGAGAACAAGAAGAAGGAAAGAAAGAAAGAAAAAAGAATACCTTGGGTCACATATACTCAGGGCAGGCATACTCAGGTGTCTGAAGAACCCCAGGAGTGGCTGGGGAGCCAACGCAGGCGGCGGTTGGTTAGTGCAGGAGGCGATTAAGTTTGGAAGGGTGAGGAGGTGAATGCAGGCAGAGCAGGGAACCCAGTCACAAAGGCCTTCTCAGCATGACTCAGGACTTCCAGGTGTTCGCGAAGGCCAGAGGAAAGGTAATCAGAGGGAGGGGCAGGAAGGAGAGCCAAGGGCAGCTGAGCCAGGGAGGGGCGTCTGCTCTGCATTTCGGCAGGCTCTCTTTGTAGGTAGTGTAGACGTAGGCAGAGTGGCCAGATGGAAGGGGGCCAACTAGTCAGGGAGAGCCAGGCCAGGCCAGGAAAGGGAAAGGATTCAGAAGAGAGGCGCGTGTGCCAGGGAGACGGAGGAGTCACGGACAACCCGGGTCCCTGCCAGGGCATCTGGAGGAAGAGGCTCTGTTGAGACTGAGTGCAGTGGGGAGCTGAGTCCTGGCATGTCTGTCACCCAGAGGTGCTGGTGGGCCCTTCTAGGGGAGACTCCCAGCTCTCTGGAGACTGTGTGAGAGAGCAGATTGTACTAGGTGGAAGCCCAGGGCCCTGCCTCTGCAGTTTGGCCCTCCCAGAACCTGGAGGGTGGAGCAGAGTGCATGGAGCAGGCCTTGGGAAGGAGTGGCCTCCAGGGAAGAAAGCGGTCAGGAAAGGAGCCTGTGGATGGGCTGCGGTGGTCTAGACAGGTGCTATCTAGAAAGGTGTGTTCGTTTCCTCTGACTGCCGGGACAACTGACCAGACTGAATGACTGAAAACCACAGAGAAGCGTTCCCTCACAGTTCTGGAGCAGAGGAATTTGAAATCAAGATGTGGATAGGGTAGCTTTTGGGGTTTCATTTTGTTTTAATTTATTTTAGGATGCTTGAGCTTGCCAGAGACAGACAGAGAACAAAAGTGAGAAAGTGGCCCCCAGGGGTGATGGCCACATTGCAGTCCCCTCTCCTCCATTCTCCTGTCAGGATTTTGGGCATGCATGTACATGTATCTTTTTTTTTTTTTCCCAAGCTGCTGGGTCTGGGACTCGAACTGTGCATTTGGCCATGTGGGATCCAGCTGTCTTCACCATGCCACTGGGTGCCCTGGGTAGAGTTTTTCCAAAGGCTCTGAGTGAGAATCTGTCCCATGCCTCTATGCTAGCTTCTGGTAGCTGCTGGCGGTCCTTGGCCTTCCTAACATGTAAACACAACACCCATCGACCTCAGTCTTCACATGGCACTCTCCTCCACATGCGTGTCTATGTATTTACACACAAATCTCTCTCTCCTTTATCTCTCTTTTTAGAAGCATCATTTATTTCATTTAAAAATATATTTGTTTAATTTTATTATTTTTTAATTTGATGAGAGGAGAGAAAGAAAGAGAGAGAGAGAGAGAGTGCAAGCCACCAGGTCCAAGATTCAAATCGTGGTCTACCATGTGGGAGTCCAGCACCTCAACCGCCATGCCACTTGTCGGCCCCATTTATTTTATTTTATTTATATTATTATTTTTATTTAACTTTATTTATT